TAAATTCAGTCAAAAAATCACTAATATCGACTGACTGAATGTAAAGTATCGTGATACGTATCGTATCGCCAGAATTTCATCAGTGCACATCCCTAATTATTAGAGAACAATGTTTTCTCTAAGAAAGGAAGACGAAGGGCAACTTAGCTTAATACAGGTAGCAGAAGCAGCATATTTGAAAAGAGACTTTGTAGTGTACACCAGTGTTAGTGGTTTAAAAAAACTTATTTCCATGCATTTCCAACAGAAACATAGCTAAGATATAAATAGAAACCGGCAATACGACTAAAAGAAGGAATACCAGTACTTGTGGTAATCTTTTAACGGGTTTGTTCTTTAATCAGAGAAAATTACAAGCAAATGAAAATGTCTTACAAACCATGTGGGGGTGTATGTTGGTCAGAGGCACCTAGGGGTTGGACTACCAAATGTAAACAAGAAGGTTCTGAGCCTGAGCTGGTCCACCACATGGAGAATTCAATACTTGTCCAATATTAATGAAGCAACTGCACTTTTTTATTCCTTCATTAACTCGGTTTCACTGCAGGGTCCGGGACAGGGCAAAACGGGTCGGGTCACTGTTTTGTCTGTCCTAATTGTAAAACCGGTCCATACAACCGACCAAGACTACACCATTCATGGGCCCCTTCTGTTGTAGGTCCACAGAAGAATGGAGCTGTACGGTTAAGGCGGAGCGGCGGCATCAGAACAACACGGTCCATTGATTAGGCAAAAGAAATATGTCTACTTGCAACAAGCAAACCAAACTCCGGAGTTCCGTTGTTTGTATTAGCATCAACTGTACATGGATGGGAGAAAATAAAACAAGAAGCAGTAAGGTTTGGACAGCCCTCCAAACATTCCACACAGTGGCGGCTGGCCAGTAGAGGGCGATAGGGCGCCGCCCTCCCAGTTTTCCCCAGTGTTTTTAATTTTGTTTTTAAATAAATAAATAAATAAAATTAACAATAATCACATATTCTAAGTTAATTGTGTGTTTTGTAACAAAAATAAATTATATATATATATATCTATATTGGTCAGAAGCTCTCTGCCGAGCTGTGGAGGCGACAGAAAGGCTGTGGGCTGTGTTTCAATCGCCCAAACAGGACGGGACCAGCTGTCCAATTGCTGACAAGAAAATCAAAGGGTAGGAATGGGAATGTATCCAATCAGCGTCGACGTTGTTTCAGAAGCATGATGGGCGATAGAGCTACCGCCAAAGGCTTTCGTTGGTGTTCGGTAGAACTCGGCAGAGTCGGTTTTGGTCGTGACGCAGATGTAACATGGACGCCGCCAGTGACTACAACCAGCATGGATACCGGATCTCAGCAGCCACTGAATTCAGTTCGGTCTCTTCTCCAGTATCCGTTCGAGAGGAGAACTATGGTGGAAAAACTTAATGTCAAAGAGCATGGACCAGATCAGCCCGACGTAAAGATAAGCCAGCAGGAGAAGGAGAAGGGTAAACTGCACACACGAGGCTTCTCCCCAAATTGGTACACCAGGAAGGCTTGGCTAGCTGGATGCAATCACGCTAATGCGTTATTTTGCTTTCCGTGTTTGTTATTCAAAATGTCTGGGACAGATAAGGCATGGATTGAGTCAGGAGTTGCAGACATGAAACATTTTTCTGAGAAGGTGAAGAAACACGAGTCATCCCGGGCACACATGGACAACAACACGGTGAAGCTAGCCATGCTAGGCAGAGCTAACATTGCCATGCAGCTCGACGAGGGAAACGGAGGACGTTTGGCCAGGGAGAACAACAGCAGCTGGGTGCAGAGGTAAGCTGTACATTACATTTCTGTGAACAAGACAATCAGAATCAGAAATCCTTGGTTGTCCCACAAACCGGGACATTTGTTTAATAACATGTTTAATGTGCAATAACTGTAAAAACTAATTTCAGCACACATACTTATTATACATATTTAATCACGTAAATGTGTATTTCATGTAAATTTGTACATACATCAATCTGATTCCATTTTACTCGTTACACTTCTGCTGCAGCAAACAAATTTCCCAGCTTTTGGGACAATAAAACATTTCTGATTCTCAATGAGATGTTTTTACCTCAAATGTAAAAACATCTGATTGAGAATCAGAAATGTTTTATTGTCCCAAAAACTGGGAAATATGACATTTGTAAGAGGATACTGATGACATAATTTCCTATGAAAGTGTTTCCTATGTACTTATCTGTTGTTTTTTTTATTTATCTACTTTAAAGAGGATTAAGACTTTCCTTGAGGAACACCATGACACAGGATGGGCTGAATGCTCTTGCCATGCTCTTCATGGAAAAAAAGCTTGTCACAAACATTCCTGACTTCAATAAAAAGCTCATCGAGAGCTTTGCCACTCAGAAGGACAGAAGGGCAAAATTTCTGTACAAATGAGGTATCACACACACACACACACACACACACAAATGCATCCACTTGATCTTTGTATAAAGTTGACCTTGGCACAACACTCCAGAAATATTTAACAGTGTAAATTTCTGGCATTTTGTCTAAGTGGTGTTTACTACCATTACTGTAACAGTGACCTGCTCATAATTTTTCGTGTTCACTCAAATGTTGAAATTAAACAAAATGTTTTTGTTACTTGCCTCTTGCATTGCCTATTTACCATTTATGGTCATGTTATTTTATGTGTAATTGAATGCAGTATTTTTCAACCTTGGTCCGCAAGGCAGCGTGCCGATAGTCAGACACACCTGGATTAATCAGTTTGTCCAATGATGTAAGACAGGAAATAAAAGAGCTGTGCTTAATTCAGGAAATAGTGAAGTTGTGCACAATGCTCAGAAAGCACAAGTTTGTTTAAAAATAAAAAATAGCACAGCCCCACCAAAAATATTTTTCGCCAGCCGCCACTGATTCCACACCATCTTCGGCGATGCGAGACGGATCGATAAGGAATGAAAACATTTTTAAAGATTCTCATCAGATGGCCGACGAAGGATATAAACAAACGTTGGAACAGTGTCACGCCAAGCTGCAGAAATTAAAAGCTGTTATGATACGATGGCACTCATTAACCCCACCTGCCAAGTGACAGTCCAAACTGTAATTGAAACGCAGAGCCATACCGGTCAATACTAGTCAACGATGACCCAGATGGACTCGTTACAAACCCCTGTAATATAACAGAGCTACATGTGACCTCTCAATACATTTTTGGCTAGCCATTAGCAACTGAAGTTTGTGTACTCTATAAAATTCCATAATACAAAGAGCCCCTGGAAAGGGAAGGGTTGTGGCTCAAAGGTGCAGTATACACCTGGATGTGTTGGATGGAAGTTGAATCATGTTCACAGAATAAATGAATATTGGAAAATTTCCAGTCATTTTAGTTGGTCATAATATAGTTGGCTCGTCCCAGTTTGATGCAGGTGTGCCATCTAGTCTCTGGCGTCCTTGGACAGCTCACTCGTCTTGTCCAAGCGGAGGTTGGAGTCTGACTGGTAGAAGGCGTGAACAGGTGTGTTTTATACAAATGAGTTCAAACAGCTGCAATTAATACAGGTAACGAGTGGAAGACAGAGCAGCTTCTTAATGGAGTAACATGTCTGTGAGGACCAGAATTTTTGCTTGTTTGTAGCAGTGTTGACTTTGACAGGACATTTTGTTTTAGTTAATTGTCAAACTTGCTTAAGTGATAGTATTCTTTTCGTCAACTAATATATGCATTTTTCTTCTGGTGCAATAATTTTCAACTTCTGTGAAGGAAATGTTAGCTATACCTTCTTGAAACTGTAAAGAAATATTAAAAATTCACATTTTACAGTGGCTTATGTGCACATATGCCATCAACAACGGATGTGTCCAAATTCAGGGGCCGCATCCTTTTTCGGCCAGATTTTAGAACTGATGACATCACAGCGATGAAGACTATTGTTATATATTTAAGGGACTAGAGAAAAGTCCATTGTTTTTTTAAAGCTAAGGGGCAAATACAAGTTTGTGTCATCACAAACTGGGAAAGTAAAGCAAAACCACTTCTCAAGTGGAAGAAAGAGCTGCTACTCTCAGAGCAGCGGTTCTTCTCAAAGCCCCTCCCAGATATCGGAGCTTCTCAGCTTATAGCAGCCTGAGCGAGGGATTGTTGGGCTTAGCCAGCTTCCACTTGTTTTCTTAAAGTGACAGAGCTCTCGAACGACTCATTGCAAAAACTGCTGTAATCACTTTGTGTGAGAGAGGGATTTTGCACAAAAAATGTCAAAAACAGAAGACCTAATACGAGTAATAAAAACTCATAATATGTCACTTTTTTGAGAGATGTTAGCAGCTTGCCAGGAAAAGGAAAGTAGTTAGCTTATCAATACTTTCAGAATTAACTTGTTTCTTTAAATGGAAGCAGCTATATAAAAGTGACTTTCTATTAAAGAACAATGGTTTCTCAACCTAAAATCAGATTTTCATACAAATATGGCAACACAAATACATAAAATGTACAATCTTATGTCTGAACCGTGACCCAGAAAAGTGAAAATCCTGTCTTTCCGATTGCTGAAAGCATTAAACCATGAAAATGACATTTTTAATTAGGGCACATTTTAGACCATGCACCACATCTTGCATTGGGTACTTGAGACCACCTTGTCGCCCGAGCAACAAACGGAACAAATGAATAATTGTTGATAGTAACAGAGGTTTTCTGTTATTATCAGTATTTTCTTAAGGAGGCCAGCTTTCAAATCGTGAGTGTGTGTTTGATACGTTTAGAATTGAAGTGTGTGTGTTTGTGTGTGCGTGCGTGTGCGTGCGTGCGTGCGTGCGTGTGTGTGTGTGTGTGTGTGTGTGTGTGTGTGTGTGTGTGTGTGTGTGTGTGTGTGTGTGTGTGTGTGTGTGTGTGTGTGTGTGTGTGTGTGTTGCTGCTGTGCACACCAAGGACACCTCTGGCACTTTTTCTCCCCGCTCACTCTATACTTCTCTTGTATTGGTTCCTGATTGGCAGCTGTAAAAACAAAGTGACTGTTTGTGCTCTCTCCTGATTGGTCAGGAGTCCCAGTGGGCAGGTCATGAGAGTAAATAAATACAGAGAGCAGCCTGTCAGTAACTCACTTCCATCCACCTCACTACAACCATCAACCATTGCTGAAACTGTTTTCCAGCAAAGATTCCCGACTAAGAAACAGAAGAAAAGCGGGTTTTTCATTTTGAAGGGAGAAAGGTTGTCATGTCTTTCGAGGTGAAGGAGAAGACTGAGGTGCGTCTGGTGTTTCTGGGGGCAGGTGGAGTTGGGAAGACGGCCCTCATCCAGCGGTTCCTTAAGGACACCTTTGAGCCAAAGCACCGGCGTACGGTGGAGGAGCTCCACAGGAAGGAGTATGAGGTGGGAGGAATCAAAGTCACCATCAACATCATGGATACCAGCGGCAGCTACTCCTTCCCTGCCATGCGGAAGCTCTCCATCAGGAACAGTGACGCCTTCGCTCTGGTCTATGCCGTAGATGACCCAGACTCCCTTGAAGCCATCAAGAGACTGCGAGAAGAAATCCTGGAAGTCAAGGAGAACAAATGCACCCCAATTGTGGTGATTGGCAACAAGATCGACCGACACAATGAGCGCCGGGTGTCGAGCGAGGACGTGCTGTCCAAAGTGGAGCTGCACTGGAACCATATCTTCTTAGAGTCATCGGCGAAGGACAACGTCAACGTGATGGAGGCCTTCAGGGAGCTGCTGCAGCAGGCCAACCTGCCCAGTCAGATCAGTCCGGCTCTCTGCCGGAGGCGGGAAACCTTCCCCAAAGAGAGCAGCAAACGGCCCCCCATGAACAAGACCAACAGCTGCATCATCGCGTAAGGACGGAGGACAAATCCCAGGCTCAAAGGTTCTCAAGACAAAACAGACTGTGAATGTCAAGAACTTTTAATGTGAAAACCCTGGAAGAATGGAAGATATTCATTTAAAATGTTTCTAATTGTGGTTGCTTGTTATTTTTTTCTTGTTCTTTTTTATTTTTTAGAAGCGACCATGCTTTTTTGTCTACAAGTGGCGGTTTTATGGCTCAAGAGATTTTGAACGTCTAAATATCGGTCTTGTTTTCAAACCGAAGCCGGAACGAGCATCAAAGTGTAATCTATCACCTGCAACACATAAAAAGCCATTAGTGGTGATTTTAACGTATTTAAATAGAAGCTGCTAAATAAAGGTGCCCTTTCAAAACCTTCCCACTGCTACATGTTGGCTTTTCTCAATGTGAAGTATCTTACAAGGGTTTATTTCTGATCAATAATAAAAACTTTTAAAAACCAACCTTATAGTGTTGTTGTCAGCTTGATGTTAGAGAACAAACAAAAACAAGGATTCTGTTTGTTTAAAGGGCACCAGCAAGTCACATAAAAGTCCCATTAACCTTCATCTGATTGAAAAATGTAAGTTTTCTGTCAAACTTCACACACACACACAAACATCTGGAATAGCAAATCTATCAAAATAAAACAAAGCAAAACCTCAAATTTCTGCATGTGCATGTGATTAAGATAGTAATATATACTTAGATAACTAACTTTCCAATGTAAGCTAATATTGATCTTGTTGGGTCGGACTTTGTCAACATTGATCTCCCTTCTTGAGAGCAGCGCTGGCCAAACCAGACCGGTGAGTTTAGATGATAGCTGCCACATCTGTGCACGTTCCTCTGGCACCCACACATCTTCATTTATTTCATTTTGAAACGGAAATTCAAAATCTCATACTTGTTCTGCAGAAATGACAGACAAGTTCAACACAAAAACTGCATTTCATGACTCAGTTTTGTGATGTACTGCCCCCTAGTGGAGCAGTCGGTTACAAACGTGTCCTATAAAACTACATCAGGTTCAAAAGACTTGAAGCCTCGTTCTTCACGAAGACTGGACTTACTGATTTGTGCAAGTACTGGGGGAGGGGGGGGGGGGGGTGTCACGAAAGGATTTCATCTCCACAACAGCATCTTAGTTTGCCAGATAAAATAATCTCACATTGTTTTACTATGATCAAGCTCATATTATCGATGTGTGTTGATGTTGAAGAATCCATTCAGAGCAACGCTCCAGGATCTTCCTTCTATTTTTGTCCTTTTACTGATAACAGCAGAAATATGAGGTTTAAAAATGACTCGTCTTTAAAAGTCACTATGGTGGAGGCTGCTGCCCTCTTCTGCCTGCAAAGGAGTATATCGGGAGTCTGTAGCTCTCCAGCAATGAAGCATATGTGAAAATGGAAAAATTAGAATATGGAGCTAAATTCCATTCATTTCACTAAGTCAACTTAGACTGAGAGACCATCTAAAAGCTCAGGAACGCTTTGCAGGTGTTCTGGATTCATTAGCTGATTAGAGTGTGACACTTTGACTCTAGAATTTAGAATCTTTTCACAATATTAGAATTGTCTGAGATTTTGAATTTGTGGTTTTCATGAGCTGTAAACCATAATCATCACAGTTACAACAAATAAAGACTTGGAACATCTGGAATTTGCATGTGATGATTCTATCTTATTAATCAGTTTCACTTTTTAAGTCAAAATACTCAAATAAATGAACTTTTGCACCATATTCAAAAATTTCAAGTATCGCCTGTAGTTAAGTTTTTTACTGTGGGTCAGTCAGGCACCTTAAATAATAACTGCTCTGATTGTTTTGTTTTTATTTCCTCTTTTGTGTGACAAACTCCGACATTCTGAGTGGCATAAATGTGTTCCTCTCTCACACCTTTAATCATTCATAGACTCTGTATGTAAACATTCAACAGCCACCTACAGAAGACCAGATGTCTTTGATTAGAACACATTTTCAAGTCATTTCTCATCAAAGCCAATAAGGAGGGGCTATTCAATTCCAGGCCTCGAGTGGACCAATTTAGGTTAGATGTTACATATATGGGGTCTATATCTTTACATATATATATATATATATATATATATATATAGGGTCAATATTTTTACATATTTAGGTTACATATATAGGGTGTATATATTTACATATATAAGGTATATATCTATATTTACACAAAATTAAACACCCAATGATGAGCAAGAGTCTGCTTCTAGACCTGCAAAAGGAGGAAAAAAGAAAAGGGACACACAACAATAAATCAGGAGCAAGCTATCACTGTGTCAACCTAATGAGAAAATATAAAATCAACATTGTTTTACTGAACAGTCAAATGATAATAAATCACAGTGCATTAAGTGCCAACCACAGCCTTAAGACGTGTTGAACGTGCCCAAGTCCATACTTATGAGAGCACCATGTGAGCACCTAAGTGTGTACACGCGCTTGTATATGTAAGGCTTCTCTATAGGGACGTCCAATAGAGAGTGTGAGGGGCCACAGATCCGCCCACCAAAGATGTGTAGGAGATGGAAGGAGCTCCAAGTCTCAGAGATCCAGGAGCTGCCCCAGAGTGCAGGGACCCCAGGGAGACTGCAACCAGAAAAGCCCCTGCCCCCCTCAAGAGGCGCAGAGGATTGCCCCGGGGGCCACAACCAGCAGCCGGCACAGTCCCGGGGGATATCAGCGGCAAGCCCACAGGCCCGCCCGCAGCCTCCCACACCCATACCGGCCGAGCTCGGAACCCAGCGACTCGAGACCCAGAGGGGACCACCCCCGCCGGGGACCCAGCAGAGCCCAGGGACTCAGATCCCACTAGGCAGCCACCGGGATCGATCAGGCAGACGCCAAAAATCTTTAACCCCCTGACCCTGGAGCCGCGAACACCCAGGCAGACCAAGGCACCACAGTCCACACCAGGTGTGGCAGGGGGAGGGGAGACGAAGATCTATATCATCAAAAGAAGTCCCAGGAGAAGAGAGGAGTCAAAGGCCACACCTGACATATACATATAAAAGAAGTGCCTGACTCTGTCCTGCCAGATGTTTTTAATTCATTTTTTAGTCGGTTTGAGAGGGGGGACCTTGTTGGAAAGGTTGGGGTCTGCAAGAAAGACCTCAAACCTAGTGAGGGATTTGTAATTTCACTAGACCAGGTCACCATCTTACTTAAAAAGGTAAAGGTGGGGAAAGCAAGGGGCCCCGACGCCATCTGTGGGCGTACCCTGCATCACTGTGCCAACCAGTTGAGTGGTGTTTTTAGCAGATTGTTTCAAACATGTGTGGATGTGGGTCAGATTCCATCTTTGTGGAAAACTTCTACTATAATCCCAATCCCTAAATCAAGTACTTCAAAGGAACTGTCTGACTTTAGACCAGTAGCACTCACATCACTTGTGATGAAAACTTTTGAAAAAATTCTAAAATCCGAAATTTTATCTCTGACAAAGGGGAGACTTGACCCACTTCAATTTGCCTACCAGCAAAATAAGGGGGTAGAAGATGCAGTGCTTTGTGTATTGAACACGGTCTACAGGCACCTTGATAAAACGGGGACTTGTGTAAGGCTCTTGTTTGCAGACTTTTCTTCAGCCTTTAACAAGATGCAGCCCCACATCCTGATTGAAAGACTTGCCAATGTTTTTAATTTGCCCGATCAGCTTCTCTTACTGATTTTGAACTTTCTTACGGGGAGGACCCAGCGGGTGTTGGTTAATGGTCAGATTTCCCTCCCATTAATGTCCAGCACCGGATCTCCTCAGGGATGCGTTCTGTCCCCCCTGTTGTTTATCCTGTACACAGACAGCTGCAGGGTCACTCAGAACAACAGGTTCTTGGTTAAGTTTTCGGACGACACTGTTTTGATGTCCTTACTTTCGGGATCTGAAATAAACCGTGGTCCTGCGCTGTCAGATTTTGTAGAACGGTGTGACAGTAACTACCTGGACCTGAATGTCAAAAAAACCAAGGATATGATTATTGATTTTAGACGCTCCACACCACCCCACCTTGGTAGTAGCATCATCCACGGTGAAGTGGTGGAGGTGGTTGAGGAGTACAGATACCTTGGTTCTTGGATTGACAACAAGCTGCGGTTTGTCACAAACACGGACTCCATTTTTAAACGAGCTCAGCAGAGAATCTATTTTTTAAGGAAATTGAACTTTTTTAACGTGAATAAAAGGATTCTCTGCAACTTTTATAGCTGTTTTATAGAAAGCATTTTAACATTTTCATTTGTTTGTTGGTACAAAGCCTTGTCCATGAAGGACAAAAAGAAGCTGCAGAGCATTGTAAAAATCTGCTCCAAAATTATACTTACAGTCTCTTTGGGAGGAGAGGGTGCGAAAAAAGGCTAAATGTATCCTTGGTCAGCCCCTCCATGCTCTGAACTCTGAGTTCTCTCTTATGCCCTCAGGATGTCGTTATTATGTACCTTCTCAAAAAACAAACCGCTTTGCCAACTCCTTTGTTCCATCAGCTGTTGAACTGCTTAACTCTGAGCCGGGAAGGGTGGCGAAATAACAGCGAAGTATCATCGGCTTTAAGCATGTGCCATTTTTGGAGGGCTGCTGCTCATCCTCTACCCTTCATTTAGGATGTGTTCGGCATGTTGGTAGTGACACACATTGTGTGATTGTGTGATTGTATAAATGGATTGTTTGCTTGGTTGATTTTATGAGCGAGTTATTCTGTGTGGTAAGCTACAAATTAATTGCCCCATGGGGACCAATAAAGTTTTCTGATTCTGATTCTGACAGTCATACACAAACACAGTCACACACTCCCTCCCTCATGCTCACACATACACATACAACCCAAGACTTACAAAAATGCATGCTGGACACCCACTCATGCTCCCCATACACACCCTATTCACTCTGGTCCCAGTACTGCTGCACATGGGGTACAACCATCACCGGTTACCAGAGTTTGACCCTTTCTGATGGGGTGCTGATGAGCAGGCTCCCCCGCCCAACGCCGAGCACAGCGACCTACATTCATTCATTATTCTGTCATTGTAATCTGACCCACTAGTGACACCATGATGACTACATGGATTGTTAGACAGTGGCCTCCGGTAACTGATGAAGCTTTATTAAAGGGGCATTATGGAAGTTTGACAGCCAAAACATGTATAGAAATAATAAATTTCTTCTTCATACATTCTCCTGCAATGCCCTGGTCCTATAGAATGAGCCCTGGTAATTTTACTGTGATTGCCTGTTTTTCTGTAAAATCACAGAAAAAGAGAGTTGTTTGGGTCGAGCAGGCTGCTTCATGCACATCCACGCTCAGGCATAGCCCGTAGCATTTGCTATCCGTAGCTTTAGCAGCAGAGAGTGAGGCAGTGCCAACCCAGCGACTTTGTCGCTGTTCCTAACGCCTAGTGATGAACCTAGCTACATTTCTGAGGACCCTTAGCTACTTTCTTCTAGCCATTTTCGCTCTGAACCGTTCTTTGAACGTTGTTTCAGTTGTCATCAACCATATAAAAGTTACAGATACAAAAGACGTAACTGGCGTTTTTGCTCACCTAGTAAGTCGTCGGACTCTCGTGCAGAAGACCCAGGTTCGATTCTGGATGTGAATATAGTTTCTTTTGAGTTTCTTTTTTACATGAATGGTATATTTTTTTACAGTAAGATGCCCAAATTTTTATTTGAGACTCGCCGAATGGCATTGAATTCACAGATAAAAAAGATGTGGGTTCAACTTTCATTTTGGAACAATTTCTCAAGCAAGGGAAGGAAAGCTCTGCGACGCCTCGTGCACGAGCCTACTGTTGAAGCTGCCGTTACACTTTTGGCCTGAGGGGGCAATCGCGAGCATAAAAATTCAAAACTCTGTAAAGTCCCTTTAAATTATTGCTGAAATCAATATAAGAATTAATCATTTGTTTAAGCGATAAACAGGAAACATTAATCGGGAGATAACAGACACATATAGCTTACGTGTGCAGAAGTTAGCACACTAACAGACATTTAGTTATTATGGACACTGGATGAACTACAACTTTTTGGAAGGCAAATATCCCGTTACATCTGGCGTAGAAGTAACACAGCATTTCAGACAAAGAACATCATACCAACAGTAAAATATGGTGGTGGTAGTGTGATGGTCTGGGGTTGTTTTGCTGCTTCAGGAACTGGAAGGCGTGCTGTGATAAATGGAACCATGAATTCTACTGTCTACCAAAACATCCTGAAGGAGAATGTCCGGCCATCTGTTCGTCAACTAAAGCTGAAGCGATCTTGGGTGCTGCAGCAGGACAATGACCCCAAACACACCAGCAAATCCACCTCTGAATGGCTGAAGAACAACTAAATGAAGACTTTGGAGTGGCCTAGTCAAAGTCCTGACCTGAATCCTATTGAGATGCTATGGCATGACCTTAAAAAGGTGGTACATGCTAGAAAACCCTCAAATAAAGCTGAATTACAACAATTCTGAAAAGATCAGTTGGCCAAAATTCCTCCAGATCGCTGTAAAAGACTCGTAGCAAGTTATCGCAAACGCTTGATTGCAGTTATTGCTGCTAAGGGAGGCCCAGTATATGACAAAAAATAAATAAAAATCCCCAACACAAGTTTGTGTTTTGGTTTAGATATTCAAGAATATTTTATCAAAAGGTTGGTGTCCAATCACCAAAAAACACAACTACAGGTCTCTGATCGAGGGCCAAAGTCACTTGGGTTGGGCTAATTTTACATTGCCAGGTTGGCCAGGTTGTATGACTGCATGGCAGGCAGAGAGTGCTTCTGCAGCCAGACCGCAGTACAGAGTGAAGGTGGCTGACTGGCTGGGTCTGACTGGCAGGTCCTGCACGGACCACGGGATCTCACATCAGATTTCCTTCCAAATCCAGAGCTGTCTGCTGTATTTAGAACAGCCGACACATCCAGCAGCTTTTCTGGACGTGTTCACAAAAGAAACAGCTTCCACTTCTTGCTGCTTATTTTCAAAACCCCGCTTCACGCAGAGCGTCTACGGCTGCCTGACTGGGAAGTGTCACCGCTTTAATGACAACACATTCTCACACCCAAGGCATCAAAATATGACGCGTGTGACCAAGCCTCAATGTATGACAATTCGGGACGCCCCAGCGCGTCAGGAGATGATGATCAGGGACATGCTGGGTCATGTGGCTCCGCTGGCGTCACTGTTTGACACGCGCGGTCACACGGACATTGTTCGACTATTTAACCTTCCCGTCACCCCAATCCTAGCCTTAAGGTCCATAAACTGTGACCTTAAGGTTAGGATTGGGGTGAGGGCAATGTTAAGTAGTTCACAAGTATATCTAATGTCCGTCTCACCACCGGCGTCGGATACCGACACTCTGGGACGCTGTTTCAGCTGTTTGTCCCTGATTGTCGTCTCCTGACGCGCTGGGGCGTCCCGAACCGTATATATTGACGCTTGGTCACACGCGTCATATTTTGACGCCTTGGGTGTGAGAATGTTGAATGTGTTGGTGATGATGGTGGCTCGACCTCAGGTTATTTCGCCAAATTGGTCTAGACTAGAGGGTGGCTTGCCAGTCCACCACATGGTACACACGCGATACTATCAAGTCGTCAGTGAAGTAAATAAAATATTTTTAACAGAGTAATCCACAATCAGATTAATTTTCCAAGCCTGCATCAACACTGGTCATGATCGAACATAACTTGTTATGAACCTGAGGATGTTTATTCCTCTTTCTGACAGTAAACTCACAAATGAATGTGGAACACTGTAGAACTGTCCTCATTACTGCTTTTGTTCTCGAAAAGCCCTTTCATGTGAAGCGTTAGCGTTTCCCCGCCGCTGAAACACGTTTCCTCTTTCCACCAGCTTTCAGTCCAGGTGGAGTGTTTCTCCAGAACAAGACGAGGAAGCAGCCGTAACCATCAAAGGTTTACTTCCTCTTTGAGTAGTTTAAACTCACAACTAGAGGACCTTCTGTTTGGATCAGGATAGAGGACTCAGACACAGGTTTCCTCCAGCTCTGACAGACTTTTTGAGACTTGTTGGGGTTACGCAAGTTTCTTGTCTCTGATCCTGGACTTGGTCCAAGCTCTTCAGAGCTTTTCACACTTACCTGAGAAGTTTAGAGCAAGTAAAGGATCTCGGACTACACTACACTAAACCAGGTGTTTTAGGTGAAACGGTGTCATTGTCAGGACATATCAGGCTGTGAGGTAAATGTACATCTAATGTTTCTTGCACTCTGCTTTTTCATGTCATAAAACTGTTTTATTCTCTTTACTTTGATCTTTAAACAGTCGTTTCTCTAATAATAAACTGAAACTTGTTGTTTTTTGTACATTTCATAATTTTCATCAAGTTAATTTTGATTTCTTTATATTTCTTTACAATACAGGTCTCTTTACTGTTAATACATTATTAAGCATTGATAAAACAACAGCTGCCTAACTGTATTATGTAATGCATCACTAAGCAGAAACCCCCTGGCCCTTTGCCCTAACCTTAAGGAAACTTAATGGTCAAAAATAGCATTAGCAATAGCATCCGTTGTTTGATCATGCTTAATAATGCATTAAGTAACATTAATAAAGTGTTACCTAATTCTGCTTAGAAATGATTTTCAATATTCTGTGATATCGTCTTTCATGTCTCTCTTAAAGTTGGGATTTTTCTTTGTGATGATATTCTAATATTTCAGGTTTCACCAGATTAAGAACAGGTGAGCATGCTGAAAGGACCAGAGTTGGACTCCACTGGTTTTGATGGTGTGCTTCAAGCTGTTTGGTGTTTAAAGTTAACGAAGTCCCCCCCCCCCCCCCCCCTCCTTTTTTTCCAGTCTATATTTTTTGGATTTGCTCATTTTACTATAAACCACAACTTAAGGACATTTTTGCCTGTTTGGAGTTCCTCATTGCACGTATAAATTAAATGTACATTTATAGGTCCTAGATACTTGAGTTTTAGTGTAAAACATAAATATAAATGTTAAATATAAAGAATTTCATCAGACAACAGGCAACATCTTTATTTTCATACACATCAGAATCAGACAGGACAAACCAGAACAATAAATACAGTCGTATGACACCTATAGGACATTTCATGCAGTCATTTCCTTTGTTCCATACCAACACACCAGATTAACACTCGTTCTCAAATGTGTGTTTCATAACACTTCATGGAAACAAATCTGACCGACGCAGACAAAATGCACATTTAAACAGAGAAGTGTCACAGTGCTGCTGTGGGGAAGACACCCTCTCCACGAGCCTCTAAAACAACGTAAAGAGCAGCGACGTGTAAAGAATGTTTCCCTGAGCAAACAAAAGCTGACAGAATCCTTGTGAGCATCACTTTCAAATAAAAGGTTTGTGTGACTAATCTGGAAAACACTCTGAGGTGACACTGTAACAGAATCTGTAGTTAAAATAACTTCACTGGTGTTTCAAACACTTATAAATAAAAGCGTTAGTGTAACAACGCAGGAAAACCTTCGGCAACCTCAACTAAAATGGCCAAAAATCTGCATTAAGGCCAGACTTTCCACTTTCTTTATGTTTTGTAGTTAGAAGCGACATGCTTCGTTTCAGTGCTACAGGAGCGAGCGGGAGAGTAAGGAAACATGCTGGTTGGGCATCGTTTCCCTTTGCAGATGGACTTCAGTCAACATATGAAATGCTGTTTGGTCATAAATAATAAAAACTATTTCTTTGTTATGTTGTTTCTGTTTTATTTGTCCTAATTCCACTTGTTTTTGTTCTTATCTAACACAGAGTCGCAAAGTTTTTACCTTATTTTGCCAACAGTTTCAACTACTTCCTGTCGCCTTCGTCAGAGCTTTGAAGGAGTCACATCTGTTGCCAAATCTTGTAAAAACTTTGCTACCCTGTGTGTTAGATATAAAAAACAAACAACTATTTGTTTCTAGAAGGACGGAGCTGAAGGTCAAGCATCTCAACTACAGTTTTTCTTTTTCTTTTTTTGCTTTGGGTCAGTCTGATTCTATACAGGACATTTTGTTATATTTGTGTTTTCCATCCACAAGAACAAATAACTGATAGTTGCTCCACACATCCGACTTTCCTGAACTTATTTCAGCCACTATGAAGTCTGCTTCTGCCTGAAATTAAGATTTATCTTACTGGATTGATAAGATAACAGCTAGTCAGAGCCAACCCATCCCATCTTTTTCATTTAAAACATATTTACATGATCGTAAGGGTGTGTATACCAGAGTATGGTTAAAGCTGGTGTAGCTAATCTGCAAACAAGCTAGTGAACATCTTCCCTGAGACTCTTCTGCCCGAACTGGAAACCCACAATGCCAGAGAAAACGAGGGAACGCTAAACACCGGTCGCTGTTTTCTAGGTCCAAACGTCTTTTGTTTTCATAAACTTCAAATGGCGTTTTTCTTTTTTGGACTCTGGTAGTTTGTCCTAAAGTAGAAGTGGTAGCAGCCGGCAGTTTCTCCTTCTCTGATATCACTGAGCAGAGAACCTTTCGCACCAGTGGTGTTCTGCTGCTAAATATATGAGTGTATAATGGAGGACCCAGGGAAGTACGGAGGTTCGAAAAGACCAACAACTAGATGGTCGAATAAATGCGTTTGGTCTAAAATGCAGTGGCGTAGCAAGCTTGAGGCTGGGCCCCAGTGCAAGTGTTGCTTTTTTTTTTATCTCCACAATATATTTATTGCTATACTATGTTAGAATGTTGTTGAGTCATGAAAAAAAAAATTTTAACCAATTTGTTTTCCGAATTTGATATTGTAGCTTTAATACCCATTTCAGACTCTTGTACTGCTTTGATCTAATTATAAGTATTCTTGAGGGTTTTTTTTACTTTTTTTTTTTTAATTAGAAATCTGAAAGTATTTTCCACATGGAAAATACACTGCTGGTATAAATTAGCATTTAGCAAGTTTAGCATTTAAAGATTACATCATGTATCAAGAGACTTGAGAGAAAAACCTTTTGATTGGCTGGCAGCCAATCATGCCGACTGTGTCGAGTACTGGCTGACTTTTAGTGCTGATACAAATACTCACATCTGTAAATAACAACAGGATGTTTTGTAAAAAACCTAATGTCAAATTTTAGACCATTAAACCAAAACGAAGGAAATCATGTTTTATATCGCTGTTTGATGTCATATTATGTTGTTCCTCCACTGCCAGGAATAAAGCCATGAAAAACAAACCGCAGCACTTCTGAACAATGCTATGAGCCGTTGAGTCACACATAAGCTTCACATATATGAAACTGCATCACTGCAATACTTTAATTTGAAATTTACCAGGGTTTTTACAACCGTGTGTGATTTTTTTGGTCTAGCCCTTTGTTAACTGCTGAAATTGATGTGTTCCAGAAGTGGCGCGAGGAAAAAACAGAACCCGATCGTATCTTTGGCGGTGTGGTGTGCCGCTTCTGAGACACGTCTGAAAATTGCCGCGTCATGGCTGGTTTCAAACATCCATAGACTATAGTGGATTCTATTTGAAGCAGTGCCACTCCGCGCCGCAGATGCTTCCAGTGTGCAATAGGGGTAGGTGGGGCAATACACTTTGATCTTGGTTACACTCAAACTAGCCATTAGCTCATCAGTCCTATGGGAGATAAAGCCTACTTTTCCAATCAGGAGGCAATTTGATAGAAATAGTATCTACATACAACTTTCACACACACAAAAACACTCTTGGACATTGCTGAAATATCCCTTTAACATTTGTCGTATAGGGCATTGGTTGCTAATAAAGGGATGTATTAAAAGTACTACCATTGAAGTACTTCACTCTCCTCACCCTTAAACTCAAAGATCCATGTCATCATTTGAATTATGAAGCAGCAGAGGTCTCTGTTGCTGCTGGTATGAATCTTCTGGTGTGATTTATCAGGTCTGAAAACCATAAATTTAATAAGCGAACTAAAGAAATAAAGTGAACACCTTCTGGTAAAGCAAATGGGTCAGTTATTTGGTCATTTTCTAGAATATCTTTAAATAAAAGAGGACATGTGTGATCCTGATATAAAGACGATGTGGGGCAGCTGGTTATTACAGCGCTAAGCAGGAAGCGGTGGATCTGGTTTCTATCACCAAACCCAGATCAGTCGTCCACCGTTATATTTCTGAACAGGTAGGCCATGGACTCTCCGTTGTGGATACGACGGATGGCCTCCGCCAGGATCATGCTGACATCCACCGTCTTGATCTTTGGACACTGTAGCTTTTGCACCTCATGGGGGACTGTGTTCGTCACGACAACCTGAAGGACCCAAACAAAGACACTTGATTCAATGGAAGTCTTGTTTCCAAGCGTGAATTCAATTAATTTCAATTCAAGTTTATTTATATAGCGCCAAATCACGACAAGAGTCGTCTCAAGGCACTTCACATAATAAACATTCCAATCCAGGTCAGTTCATTAAGCCAATCAGAAAAAGTGTTTCCTATATAAGTAACTCAGCAAATTGCATCAAGTCACTGACTAATGTCAGTGACTTTACAGCAATCCTCATACTAAGTAAGCATAAAGCGACAGTGGAGAGGAAAACTCCCTTTTAACAGGAAGAAACCTCCAGAGAATCCTGGCTCAGTATAAGCAGCCATCCTCCACGATTCACTGGGGATCGAGAAGACAGAAAACACACACACACACACACACACACACACACACACACACACACACACACACACACACACACACACAAGTAATGTGTCTATAGTTACATTGTGATGTCTTAGTAAATATTGTATTTGGTGAAAGATAAACTTTATTGTATTTATCCTAGTGGATCTATAATTAAACTGATAAACTAGTATTAGCACATCAAAAGTAAATGAAAACAAAAAGTTATTATCAGGAGAGAGAGAATGTATTAGTGGTTAGCAGCAGTGTGCTAGACGATGGCCCCCTCCATGAGGCCACCACAGCTTAGCAGAAAATCATTGTAGCTTCTTCTGGGGAGAAAAACACTTACAGAGAATATAAAGTTAACAGCTGAAATTGCACAAAATAGTACAGTTAAAGAGCAGACTGTAGAATAAAGCAGTAGAGTGTGAAAAGTGGTCAGTGTGTCCTCCAGCAGTCTAAGCCTATAGCAGCATAACTACAGAGATAACTCTGGATAACCTAGCCTTTTTAGATGGAGGCATGTTGGAGGCAGGGCAAGGAGCCGTCTTTACTGACTGTACACTCCACCTCCCTCTACTCCCCCACTTGGCTAACATCAGATTTTAACGATAGGCCCTATCAAACAAAAATGTTTTAAGCCTAGTCTTAAAAGTAGACAAGGTGTCTGCCTCACGGACTAAAGCTGGGAGCTGGTTCCACACGAGAGGAGCCTGATAACTAAAAGATCTGCCTCCCATCCTAATTTTAGATATTCAGGGAACCACCAGTAGACCTGCAGTCTGAGAGCGAAGTGCTCGGTTAGGAACGTATGGAACAATCAGATCACTGATGTATGATGGAGCTTGATTATTAAGAGCTTTATATGTGAGAAGGAGGATCTTAAAATGTATTCTGAATTTAACAGGTAGCCAATGTAGGGAAGCCAAGACAGGAGAGATATGATCGCTCTTTTTAATTCTCATCAGAACTCTAGCTTCAGCATTTTGGACAAGCTGAAGACTTTTAACTAAATTCTGTGGACTTTCTGAGAGTAATGAATTACAGTAATCCAGTCTTGATGTAATATATGCATGAACTAGTTTTTCAGCATCACTCCTGGAAAGGATGCTTCTAATCTTAGCAATATTCCGAAGGTGGAAAAAGGAAATCCTACAAACCTGTTTAACGTAGGATTTGAATGACATGTCCTGGTCGAAGATAACACCAAGGAAGCTCACTTCTCCTGAGAGCAGCACTAAATTAAAACAACGTTAGGAAAGTGGCTAAAATCAGAGGAACCAATCAGGAACAATCAGTGAGGTGTTAAAGCTCACATTGTGAGGAAATGTAGTTCCACAGTGTTTTCCTTACATAGGCATAGCCGTGGTGGCCTGCCACGCCTACAAGATCCCAAGTTTTATTGATATTTTTTTGCGCCATTTCCCGAAGAAGCAGCGGGAACTACTCTGTTGTTTCTTGTGATCATACCCGGGAGGCAGGGCAGGGTGGTTACAGATAGGAATGAGCCCGATACTCGTTTCAGATGAGTATCCGGTATGGATAAAGCATTTTTGACGAATACGATCATGAACCGAGTAAAACTCGTAAATATCTGTAAACGTGCTGAAGGAAAATCCTCATTGGGTAACTGACTGTCTTCATGCTCTGTGATTGGCCAGTCACATAGAGCGCCCGCCCCTCCCTCCACACAAAACTCTGCAGCCAGGAGCTCAGTCCGGCCCATGCATCCACGCACACAGACAGACAGCAATGGATCTCTCTGTGCTTGCTTCACTGTTGCTCACATTTAATTTAGTTTAATATTTAAAGTTACTTTATTTGTGACGTACGTGGTGCATTTGACAAGACAGAGCTGAGAACGGCTCGTGCATGCGTCGGTCACTGCCTCCACTCGGTTTTTTTTTAATTATTTCTCTCTCTCTCTCTCTCTCGCTCTCTCTCTCTCTCTCTCTCTCTCTCTCTCACTCACACACACACACACACACACACACACACACACACACACCTTAATCAACATTGTTTTGTTTAACTGTGTGTGGGAAAAATGCCAACAATATTAGGACAAAATCAGTTTAATCAAATTAAAATAAAATGGTTCTAGTATTTCATATTTCCTAGTTCCTACTGCATGAGTTCAGATGTATTAATTCATGCACTTAAATATTAATGTTCTGATATTATTGAAAAACTTGTTCTGTAATAGTTCCTTTACTATTGTGATCAAAAATATTTAATCTCAATTCTGAGGCTGCTCTGTGAATAGTTTTCAAATTAACAATACACATAGTAACTTCTGATCAATCCATATCAATTTCAGACTTAAAATAATGTATTGATGTAAACCACACCCACTAATTTACAAATAATAAATAAGAGGTGCATTCATCGGTGTATCTCCTTTGATCCACATTAGTGATGTTTTCAGCACCAGAACAATGAAGCAAAGAAACAGATTCCTGAGTTTATGTTAGTAGTTTTATTTATTAGGTGCATCTGATCCGTTCTACTTTTCTCTGAAATGAGACCAAATCAGTGCTTCTATGGGTTGTCTCCTCTCTGCACTAGAAAAATGTACTTTATTATAATGTTCACTGTAATGCATCTTGATGTTCTTAACAAATAAATTAAATCAAAGATATTGGTCAATAATGCCAAATATGTAAACTTGTGTTTCAGTCATTTTTATACTGGCTTAAAAATACTTCATTAAGTCTACTAAGCAGGGGGGTAGAACGTGTTTAATAGGGCCAGCCCAGTAATGATCTTGGACCAAAATAAAGGGGGGAAGAAGGAGATGTGTTTCCATCCAGAGGCCAAGAAAAATTAAATGCCAAATCCCCCCTGCAAAGTGTGCCACTGAGAGTTTAAAACAAAAATTATTCTTGTGCAAATATTGGTGTGTTCACCTTTAATACTAGTTATTACAACGCAGCAGTCGCTGGACTGGTGCAGTTCAAAGTGGAGTGCATCAAATAAAACAATATTAACATAAAGGTGAGACGTGTCATAACCCCCCCACCCCCCACCCCCAGACCACACCCCTCACCCCCACCACCACAGCTGGACAAATTCCTAGGGGGAACACTGTGACCGTTATTTTTAAAAAAGGGGAAAAGCGGGAGTTCTTACACCAAAATGTAACCATTGTTTTCTGAACAGTCAATCATTTTTAGGAAATGAACTTGGAAATAACTCTGACAGAAATACAGCAGCTGAAAGCAATTAGTCTTTGTTTTAACAGGTTTTAACAGGATTTCTGAAGAACGAAGGAGAAGCTAAAGATGTCCAACTCTTCTGATCATATTTTATTTGCTGGGGAAGCAGCATCAGAGATATAAACTCATCAAATAGGTCAGAAAACCAGCAGGTAGAAGCTGGAAGTGTTTGTTCAGGTCACTGACCCACAACGCTCTCCGTCACAGACACTCCGTCCCCCCTTTCAGGACACCCTACAAACACATTAACACATCCACCCATCTGTCCATCCACCCATTCATTTATTCATCCATCCACCTATCCATCTATCCATCCATCCATTTATTCATCCACCCATCCATCCATCCATTCATTTATTCATCCATCCACCTATCCATCTATCCATCCATCCATTTATTCATCCACCCATCCATCCATCCATTCATTTATTCATCCATCCATCCATCCATTCATTTATTCATCCATCCATCCATCCATTCATTTATTCATCCATCCATCTACCCATTCATCCATCCACCCAACTGTCCCAACAAATTACCAACAAAAGTAACTACTTAGTTACTTTTTTCATTAAAGAATGCAAGAATTACTACAATAGTAAAATATAAATGACTAATGACTGAACATAATAAAATGTATGTCCAAATGTTTTATATAAACCTGAATAATTTAAACAAATACGCACTTAACAGGAGGAACTACTAATAGGAACATTACACTAATCTAGACTATTAAAAGGGCACTGTGTGATATTTAACAAAAACCCAATCAGCTAACATTTAAAATTGCAAATAGAAACACCTGTAAAGGTTCCCGAGCCTTTAAATGGTCTCTCAGTCTAGTTAAATTACAGAAATAAATGTAATTTTGCACAGTATTCTAATTTTTCCAGCTTCACATAATTGTGTGTTTTTACTAGCATTTCTGTTGCTGGTAATCTAGTAATGGTTAAATAAATTAATAAATATCCTTTAAAATGACACTAGAAGAGGCACAAGCCTGATGGAGGACTTACATTTACTAACTTGGGTCAGACCCAACCACAGAAGAGCTGAAGCTGGGTGGTAAACACACACAGGTAGTTCTAATAACACCTGAGCTCCATGACGTCTGAGACTGATGCATCAGTGTTACAGCGGGGCTAAAGACATGATCAGAAACAGGTTACAGCTGGATGATCTAGGAAGGCAGAAGATCAGGACGTCTGAGCGGTGAACAGGTGAGCGGACCTTCGGGACGTCCCGCTGTCACGCTAAGGGCACGGCTGCAGACCCGCAGATTCGCTGCTGCTGCAGCAACAAATCTGCGGGTCTGCAGCCGTAGATGTTCATCACGTCTTCCTCGTTCTTCACGGGCCGTGACGCACTTGGATGAAAACATCTACCTCTTTAGCTCCTGATCAGCTGATGATGACAGCTTCAACACACCGCGCTGCTTCACGCACGCATTTTCTTATCAGTAACAGAAACGACGATTTGATAAAAGAAGACGGTAATTAATTAGTTTGCTCGTTACTGAAAGAAATATTTTTTATTAACGCGGTTATTTTAAATGGAGTTATTCCCGTTGTGTCTACAGAATGCAGCGACTGAGACCGTGAGGGTCTCCGCCCACCCGGCCAATCATCATTGTGATTGTAAGTGCGTTACCGACACCTCTCTCTCCCTGGCTGCAGCTGAAGTGTGGCGGTCAGAAAGCCTCACACTGCTGCTCAACGTTTGACAAGCACATAGTAACGCACAACCTTCCGTCCCCAGTAACAGTAACGGCGTTGCAACGGCGGGAAAAGTAATTAATTAGATTATTCCGTTACCTATAAAAGAACGCCGTTAGAAACGCCGTTATACTTAAACGGCGTTACTCCCAACACTGGTCGTTAGGTTTCTGGGGGGGCAGCAGAAGGGATCATCTCACATCCATACTGGAACCCCTGCATTGGCTCCATATTTGTTTTAGAATTTGTTTTAAGATTCTTGATTTTGCTTTCAAATCACTGCTGGGAACTGCACCACCACCAGAGGGGAGTGGGCATTTTCATTTTCCACTAAATTATGGAAAGGTCTCCCGCTGGTGGTTAGGCACACTCCATCATTGGACGTTAAAGATCCATTTTTATTCTTTGGCTTTCTTATAGGAGTTGGGGTGAGTCTTGTTTTATTCTCTGCATTTTATTGTCTCTACTGCTATAGTCTGGGTATGAGACGGTTTTATGATTTCATAGATTTTACAGTATTTTTTTTTTGTTCTTACTTGCATCATGTAAAGCACTTTGGGCTTGATAAGTATAAGAAGGTGCTTTATAAATAACTAAATGATGATGATGATGATCCATCCATCCACCCATCCAGCCTTACCTCATCTATGGCTGATTCCTCTATGAGACGTGGGGCATCTGCAGAAAGTAAACCGTGAGTTGCCATAATGTAAATTTTATAGGCTCCTCTCTCTTTCAGGATCTCTGCAGCAGCAACAAAATCTCCTACGTCGTCTATAATATCATCCTGCAGGGAGAAACCAGAAGGAAAAGTTCATGTGTAGTTACAACACCAAGCAGTTCTACTCCATTTCTACACACTCCTTGTTTAGGTGTTGTAAAACACATTCAGGAAGAGAAAAGCTGAGCTACACTGTTTCATGCATTAGAAGGTATAGTAAGACATAGCAGCAGAACAAGTTTTGGGAGCAGCATACCACAATTATGGCAATTCTCTCGCCCACGTCTCCTACTACAGTAATCGGAGGTTTCTCCTTGGCCATCATTACTGAAACAAAAAACAGATTAAATGACCTCACTTCTCCTCGGGGTTAAGAGGAGATAATCTAAAGTAGATTGGGTACAATGGGTAAAGAAAATGTGTTTTAAGCCAATCAGTGTCCCAAATGACTGGGTTTGAATTCAGTGATTTGTAATAAAGTGAGATTAAAATGAAATGATCATTGATCAATCAAGGATGGTGGTGCATGACCTTCCCCCTCCCCATTCTACCCCTCCTACCTTTTAGAAAAACAAAGGCTGAGATGCTAAACCTAGTGCTAAGCATGCCATGCAAAGATCAAAAGGCAAAAGGAATTTCAGCCCAAGATTCCCAGTCAGAACAAACAAACTTCAGGCTTCAGAGGGGACACAGCAGCAGTCGGAACCAAATATGCAAAACACACTTTTGATTTCACCGCAACAGCAGTGGCAGGCACTGACGGGAGTCTTCACACACACTTGCCAATGTTCTGGGATCAGATCTGTTATATTAAACAGATGCCAGCCACCGGCCTGCGTTTACATGCACACAGCAATCACACGTGTCATTTAAATATGCTATAAGCTAACCTCGGTTTTATAGTACATGGTTACTTACAAGGCCAACACGAGCAGCAGAATGTGGTACTTCCTGCTATGCTAACGCTATTTTATGAAACTTTATATCGTCATTTATTGCTTGAAATTGCCAGTGTGTAGTTTCCAGGCACTAGGGGGCAGTACTTAAATACACTTCAGGGTAGTTTTAAACTAGGGCTGCATGATATTAGGAAGACCTGCGATATTCGATAACAGTGCTTAATATTGTGATATCGATATTACTCACGATAAATGAACAAATACTAAAGTATGCAGTGTTGATGTCGTCTGGCGTGTGACGTCTAATCTGGGTTCAAAGCAAACAAAAACTAATGCATGAATTCCATTACAACATAACATTTTTATTGCAAAATTATGCAGCTGCACCTGCTACTGTATTAGCAGCAAAACAACAAACTGCACGCATGCAGTTTCTCAGTGACTTTAAAACATCACCTCCACCATAAAAACTTTTTCTGATGCTCCAAATACAGAAAAACATCCCTTACCAGGGTTTTTGAATAAATAAATAAAAAATCTGAAAATAAGTTTAAATGTTAAATAATAGTTAGCATCACTTAAATGCAACAGCAAATTCTCTCATTGCTACTGAACATTTTCTCCACATGTGGTTATGATATAAGGCTGTTGCTGCTATTGGGAAGTGAACTGTGCTGGGCCAAACTAGGAGAATATTAAGACTTTCTGAGGGAAAGAGAAAAACAATTGTCTACCTTTCAAAAGAGGAACTGGCTAAAAACTACATGGAAAATATGTGAAAATGTTTGATTTTAACCCCAAATTGAACAAGTTTACCTAGATCTTAAAAAGCAGCTCAGATGATGAAACTGCAACTATGATTCTGATAACAAGCTAACAAATTGAACCAGCTCCTCTTAAGATAACCGGCTAGCAGAGCTTCTGACTGACAGTTTATGTGCAGCAGCAAATCAACTATCCTGATTAACAAGGTTATAAAAGCTCAGAAATGAAAAATCACTTTGATGAGTGGAGGAACTTTTCCAGGCCCTCTTTAGCAGGGTGGGACTGGGAGGAGAGTGCTGTAGCCTTTTAGCTGGAAGCTAACTGGAGCCTTGGGCTAAGGTGGGTTGGTTCACCGGCACGTGTCGGAGTCAGCCCGGTTACTATCAGCTGCTTAACGACACCGAGCGGACTCACGTTCACATTTGAAAGCAGCGCTGATTCCAGAACCCTCAGCACAAAGTGCGTTCGTTAATCTGAGCCAGCATGACAAACAAGGGAACGGCGCCGCTAACTCAGTTCAGGTGTTGCGTTCGGCGTTCCACCCACCCTAAGGGTCTACGTAAGAGGCGGGCGTATTACATGAACGGACCCATCTGATTGGCCGCATATCAGAAGGGCTACATTTATTGGTCAAATAATACTTCCGCGTAAAAAACAGAGCTGGTTTACAAAAAGCTGATGTATGACATGGATGGAAATGTTTGAACCAAACATTTATCGCCGTTTTTGATGTGCTTTGCGATGGGCCTATCGCACGTCCTGTTATCGCGATGACGATAATTTTTCGATATATTGTGCAGCCCTATTTTAAACCATATCGCCATCACTGTTGCTAGTTTAAAAAAAAACATTGCAGTAAAAGTTGTTATCTGTGGAGCACAAAGCATGCAACCTCGGTGTGATTCCTCAGACTTTGATGGTCCTTCAGTTAAATGCATCGAGAGAATGCAATGCCAATTGTAGTTTTCTGGTGCTGTAGTTTCAGGATGTGCTCGGGGTCCTGCGTCTGCCGATGACATCGTACTATGGCAGTATCTCTCGGCCAAAATATATTGCATCTACTTTTTTCATTTTTTTTATTTGTGTTTCTTACTAACTAAATGTATTTGAAAGTGGCTTTGTCGTGAAGTCGTACATCCAGCCAATCATCTAGTGTGACGTCATCGACAGGTGAAGTACCCCGAGTCAGCTAGAAGGAAACATGGCGTCCAACAAAGAACTGTGCCCCATGTACTCTGGCCCCAATTATTATGGGTATATGTAGAATACACATTGTCTCTTTAACCATAAAGTAAATGATAGATGGTCTATATTTGATATAACAACCTCTAGAGTTCTAGAGCCCCACCCCCCCCACCCCCCCAAGGCACTTTACAACCCAATCAGTCATTCACCCGCTCACACAATGGTGGTGATGCCCTGGGGCGCACAGATGGAGGCAAGGCTGTCGTATGCAGGTGCCACCAGTCCCTCTGACCACCATCAGCAGGCACCGTGAATGTCTTACTGAAGCACAAATAATCAGCGACAGCGAGCAGGGCCCGAACCTGCAACCTTCCATTTACCGGGTGGACACCTAATGGGCTCGACACACGGGAGGCGACATCGCCTCTCCTCCATTCATTTTCAATGAGACATGCGCGACAAAGCGATAATCGCGGGTCTCCCTCCTACCAAGCGAAACGCGAAAAACATGCGTGTGAAATTTTGCGCTCATGCATGTGTCGTGCACAGGCGACCCAGCGACGCGATCCCAGAAAGTTGAAACATTTTCAACTTTTCATTGCTGTCGCTCGGACGAAGACCAATCAACGGAGGTTTCATTCACTGACCAATGAGCGGACAGGATGCTCCGCACATCTCCGAGCAAACATGAAGGAGAAGTTGATTATTATTTTGTTTTATATAGTAAAATCAGAAGTAAGATTTCACATAACTCTAGCAGCACCTTGTGAAACATCATATCTACCACTTTATTAACTCTGAACCGCTTAAATAACCTTCATTCCCTCCAACCTGACACAGCCAAACAAAACAACGGAAGTTTCGATTTTGCCATGGAACAAAACGCGTAGACGGCTTTGCCGCTGCTGCGGATCGCCTCCCGTGTGTCAGGTAATAAAAGCGACGGCGACAAATTTCGCTGATCGTGGCCGTTTGTCGCCTCCCTTGTGTCGAGCCCATAACTTCTCTGCCACCATTGCCTTAAATAAACAGGTATAACCAGATAGTACTTTAATGTAAATAGCAAGGTACGTGGATCTTTCTCAATTTGGTAAAAAAAAAATACATTTTTGAATATCTATTCCCTGACAAGGTGTTAAAAATAATGTTTGTCTCTCATTAGTGGCAGTTTGATTGCAGTTTGTTGAACTGGTGTCTGTTCATTCAGTCAGACACACACATGGATCGCTGCTGTTAGCTTGGTTTGAAGCTAGGTTACACAACAGGCTTTTCAGTCAGATCTGTTTGGTTAAATGATAAACATATTCAGTTTGTGAATGTGGGTGAATGGGTGTATGACTGGTGTGTTGTAAAGTGACTTGGGGGACCACAGGACTCTAGAAGAAATTTGGGCCATTTTATAATTTACCATATTATTTACCTCTCCCTGGGCTGCCACCTTACCGTGGTGGAGGGGTTTGAGTGTCTCAATGATCCTAGGAGCTAAGATGTCTGAGGCTTTCTGCCTTTGGTAGGGTCACCCATGGCAAACAGGTCCTTGGTGAGGGATCAGACAAAGAGCAGCCCGAAGACCTCTTATGATGAATTATATGAATGGAAACGGTGTTCCCTCGCCCAGACGTGGGTCACCGGGGCCCCCCTCTGGAGCCAGGCCTGGAGGTGGGGCACATTAGCGAGCGCCTGGTGGCCGGGCTTTCACCCATGGAGCCCGGCCAGGCACAGCCCGAAGAGAAAACGTGGGTCCCCCTTCCCATGGGCTCACCACTAATGGGAGGGACCAAAAGGGTCGGTTGCAGTGTGTGATGGGTGGTAGTCGAGGGCGGGGACCTTGGCGGCCTGATCCTCGGCTACAGAAGCTGGCTCTTGGCACATGGAATGTCACCTCTCTGGTGGGGAAGGAGCTTGAGTTGGTGTGTGAGGTTGAGAGGTTCCGATAAGATATACCCAGATTCACCTCAACGCATGGCTCTGGCTCTGGAACCAGTTTCCTTGAGAGGGGTTGGACTTTCTACCACTGCGAAGTTGCTCCCACTGAGAGGCGCCGAGCAGGGGTGGGCATACTAGTTGACCCCCATCTTAGTGCCTGTACGTTGGGGTTTACCCCAGTGAATGAGAGGGTAGCCTCCCTCCGCCTACGTGTGGGGGACGGGTTCTGACTGTCGTCTGTGCTTATGCACCAAACTACAGTTCAGACTACCCACCCTTTTTGGAGACCTTGGAGGGGGTGCTGGAAAGCGCTCCTTCAGGTGACTCCCTTGTTCTGCTGGGGAACTTTAACGCTCACGTGGGCAATGACAGTGAGACCTGGAGAGGTGTGGTTGGGAGGAACGGCCCTCCTGATCTGAATTCAAGTGGTGTTTTGTTATTGGACTTCTGTGCCAGTCATGGATTGTCCATAATGAACACCATGTTCAGACATAAAGGTCCATATGTGCTCTTGGCACCAGGATACCTTAGGCCGCAGCTCGACGATCGACTTTGTTGTTGTTTCATCTGACCTGCGGCCGCATGTCTTGGACACTCGGGTGAAGAGAGGGGCGGAGCTGTCAACTGACCACTACCTGGTGATGAGTTGACTCAGATGGTGGGGGATGATGCTGGTCAGACCAGGCAGGCCCATACGTATCGCGAGGGTCTACTGGGAACATCTGGCTGTCTCCTGTCAGAAGGAGCTTCAATTCCCACCTCCAACAGAACTTCCAAAATGTTCCGGGGGAGGCGGGGGACACTGAGTTTGAATGGACCCTGTTCCGTGACTCCATTGTTGAGGTGGCCGACCAGAGGTGTGGTCGCAGGATCGTCGGTGCCTGCCGTGGTGGCAACCCCCGAACCCGCTGGTGGACACTGGCGGTTAGGGATGCTGTCAAGCTGAAGAAAGAGTCCTATCAGGTCTTTTTGGCCTGTGGTACTCCAGAGGCAGCTGACGGGTGCCAGCAGTCCAAACGGAACACGGCTCGGGTGGTTGCCAAGGCAAAAACCCGGGCATGGCAGGAGTTCAGTGAGACCATGAAGTAAAACTTCCGTAAGGCTTCGAGGAGATTCTGGTCCACCATCCGGCGCCTCGGGGGGGGGAAGCGGTGTGCTACCAACACTATCTATAGTGGAGACGGTGTGCTGCTGACCTCTACTCAGGACGTTGTGGATCGGTGGGCAGAATACTTCGAAGACCTCCTCAATCCCACCGACACGTCTTCCAGTGAGGAAGCAGAGTCTGGGGACTTTGGGTTGGCCTCTGAAATTTCTGGTGCTGAGGTCACCGAGGTGGTTAAAAAGCTCCTCTGTGGCAAGGCTCCGGAGTTGGATGAGATCCGCCAGGAGTTCGTTAAGGCTCTGGATGTTGTGGGGCTGTGTTCACTGACGCGGCTCTGCAATATTGCGTGGACATCGGGGGCAGTCCCACTGAACTGGCAGACCGGGGTGGTGGTCCCCTTATTTAAAAGGAGGACCGCAGGGTGTGTTCAAACTACGGGGGATCACACTCCTAAGCCTTCCTGGTAAGGTCTATTCAGGGGTTCTGGAGAGGAGGGTCCATCGGATTGTCGAACCTCAGATTCAGGAGGAGCAATGTGGTTTTCGTCCTGGCCGTGGAACACTGGACAAGCTCTATACCCTTAGGGGGATCCTGGAGGGTGCGTGGGAATTTGCCCAACCAGTCTACAGTGTAATTATTTAGTTCAATGTAAGGAAACAAGTGTTTTTTTTTCTTTTAGACCATGGCCTCCAGAATGTGCTTAAGCACGTAATCGCAACCGGCGCCGTGTATTTGATGCCAGAATACAAGTGCTGCGCAACAAGTTTTGAGTCTGATTGACATTTCTGCTATAATACCGTGACACCGCCCAAGTCTACATGTAAGTAATAATATTTTCATCCAAAAGTGTGGATCTTTCACTCCGTGGATTATTAAGTATCAATTAGCTTGTGTTAGCATTAGCTCATTGTTAACGCTAGGTACAGCATGCTTCGGCAGGGTTGTTTACGACTGTTTTAATTCTGCTTTCAACCAGCAGGAGGGAGAAGAAGAAAACTAACATAGTGTTGCTTTAAATCTATAAACCATCTTATTAAAGTTGTTGCAGTCATGCAGACATGCGGCCATGACCACAGGGTCATAAGTGGTTTCTAGTGCTTTTTAAATGGTGGCAGCATGTGTTGATTGGCAAGATGAGTCCAGATATTTAACAAAACAAATAAAATCCAAAACAACAAAAGGGTTTCCTATTGCTCCTGTTTGATTTATGGATTTCAAACTAAAAAAAATCAGAGCACAAAGAAATCGGAAGGTTTAATCATCTTGTACAATTAGCCGTCTGGAGTCATAGATTCAATAAACTTGTTTTTATTTAGATTATGTTAAGTAGAACTAATAATATGTAGATGATTGGTCTGAAAAATGTTGCTGATGCAAATAGGGTGCTTAAACTCCTGAATCCAGACCGTTTTCACAAGATGCAAACACAACCCTCCCTTCTTCTCCCACACATGCACAAATTCAGGAAACCACGTGAAGAGATAATCATTTTATAGTCAGATCAAGTAAATTAAATCTTAAGTCGTACTTGGAAGCTCTATGCCAGGGAACGGAGCTTGTTGTTTGCCTGCTATTGTCAACAAAATACACACCACATTAACACAAAAGCACAAATATAAGACATGACAAACATTCAGTGCCAAGACATCTCGATCCTCTCCTCACATCCACAGAAATAAACAAAACAATAACAACAAAAGCAGAATGGCGGCACCAAACCCTAAAATGTTCATTTCTAGCTGAAGCTATCTGTTGGCTCCAGGAAATGGAATGAATATAAATTGGAAACTAAATAGACATAAAGGAGTCATTTGCCAATGACACACTCATGTGATGGCTTTTAAAACTGAATTTAACAAATTGAAAGATCTTCATGTCACACTTTGATTATTAGTTAGAATCTGCACTTTGCTGTGGCAGCTTAATGAGTAGAGTCTGTGTGGTTAAGGCATGCAGCGGCACAAAAACCATGTTTTTGTAAGACGGCTGATGGCATGAGAGGGAAACGGCAGGTTAGGATCAGAGCTGAGAGGCTAAAATGTTCAGGAATCCCACAGCAGAATGCGTCACAGACAAAAATCACATTATGGAAGATGAAAGAGGTAAAGCTCACAAGACATTTTTTTCAGTCTACTATGAGAATACTGGTTAAAGAGCAAGTCACCCATTTCCTGGAATGGAAGCAAATTCCCAGCCGAAATAATTGTCCCATTTTAGCGCCAGCGTAGGCGTGGCCAGGACTCGGCTGCTCTTATCCACCACAACAGCAGCACAGTAGATGTCACACATATGGCTAACATCACATATCACTGCTCAGCCAATAGCGGTGATGGATTCAAATTCAAATGTAATACAGGTTTCGACCTGAAGAGGGCACCACACTGACGGAATAGACAGAATATTTATCTTTTTAATAAGATGGACTGAAATGCCAAAATAATGGCCACATGTCTACAGCACTATTAGATGCTCCTTTATACAGTTTATCAGTAAAAATTGGTGGATTTGGATTTGTAGGTGACTTGCTCTTTAAATTAGGGAATCTGATAATAAACTCTGAAGCAGTGATGAGTTTGCACACCCTCCACACAAGATTAAAACCCTGCTTTGATCTCAGTGACCTTTCAGAGCGCTGCTGGTTCAATCCAAAGTGCTCCTACATCAGAGCGCCTCAGGATGCAGATCCGCTACTGGTGTTAATGCTTGGGTAATGCTAACTTGTCAGCAACATACATTGAACAAAATATTCCCACTCCATTCTCCTGATTGGAGCTGTTCAGAAAGCGAACAACAACAGGTGAGAGGGTGATTATTTCTAACGTCTAAACAGAAATGTTTAAAGTGTGAAAAGCAAGGGGGAACCCCAGGCACCCAGAACCGAAGCCAACCAGGAAGTGATTAAAAAAAATTTCAGTTCCCCCCTCATCCTCTAGGGGCTGGATCCAAATTGGATGCCAGTTTCACAGCAAAAATAAACACGTTTACAGCCTGGTTCAAAAAAGTACTTTAGGTATAATACAGTGTTTTCTCTACATAGGCTAAGGCGCAGCGCCACGCCTGAAACTCCCACACCACGGCTTCGAACCCCCCTCCCCCTCATACACACACACACACACACACACACACACACACACACATGAACCTCGCCACTTTTTTTTGCTGGTTAAATAATGTAAAATGCTGTCCATTTACCATAACGCTGCTTGGTCAAAAACGGGTTGAAATATGACGCACTGGTGGGGCTGAGTGCTGAAACTCGAGCTAAGTGAGCTAACTGAAGCTAGAGGAGGTTTCCGGGCTGCGCCGGTCCACCACGGTCAGAGATCTGTGAAGTCACTGCTGCAGTCTCTGTACCGCGTCCTTCCCTTCAGCAGTGGGAGACCCATGGTCAGAAGAATCTGTCGCTCTAGCTTTCCGAAGGCAGCCGAGCAACGTGACCGCCCAGCTTCCATGCGAGGCTGAAGTCATCCTGGCTGCCTGTTGACCTCTCTGATGAAGACCAAAAAAAAAAAAAAAAACACTGCAACTAGTTGCTCATCGATGGTTTTATGGATAAAAGCGTCCTAAAACCTCTGTTAGCTTCAGTTAGCTCGTAGCTGGGAAAGTAATGGCTGACTCACATCCTCAGAGCCTTGCTTTCAGCTCCACCTCAGAGCCCATTTTCGGATTGTCTAGGCGTGATGAGACTTGAAACACGGCCAAGATGGCGGTGATCGGAACCGCCCATTGGGCCTCAATTTAGACCATAAGAAACCGATAGGTGACGTCACAGAGGGTTTGCCTCTACAGTCATTGGAATAAAGCATTTTCATCCTGTGTGGAGGACGTTTTTCCTCAAAACTGTAAGGAGTGTTCTGATGATCTAAACGTTTTTAAAATAAAAAAAGAAATTTGACTGAAAGAGACAATAGAAGTGAAACATTGCTTGAACGCCTTTAAAACACAGATCAGCATAGACGTGTGGTCTTACATGGCAGCTCCAGTCCCGTGTGACCTGTGGTGTTACGCACACACGGAGGGGAGTGTCTTCCGTCGGCCATGTCTGACTCAGAACACTGAGCCTCGCCGTGGATCACGGCCAGGCCCAAACGCAGCCGCTCGGCGTACGACTGAGCTCTGCAAAAAAAGAAAACGCTGAAAATCAAAATGTAAAGATGAAATAAAGAACTTCTGATCCAACTATATGTCCTTCTTTATTATGTCAAACAAATGGAACAACATGTCTTTGCTAAGCTACCTTTTAGCTGCAGCAGGGGACTTTGCAACAATTATAGCATTTCTGTAAAGAGGAATCTAGCAGGATGGAGGAGAACAGATGTTACCAGATGTTGATCTGGGGGTGAGGGTTAGCATTGTCAACATGAACGCCCAGAGTTCGTACCTCTTCTTGGATGTACTGAATCAGGAATGGGGAGGCTCGCAGGTTATCCACAGGAAAGCTGAAGAAGCCCTGGATCTCCTTCTGATGCAAATCCATAGTGATTATATGCGTGAGACCTTCAAAATAAAAGCCCACATAAAAGTAGAATGAGATGAGAGGCCTTTAAAGGATTAGTGTGTGGAGTTGCGCTGCTGCCTGTACCTGCTTTAGCCAACATTGAGGCTAACAGTTTGCATACTATGGAGCCCCTCTTTCTCATCTTGCACTGCTTGCTGTAAGGGAAGTAAGGAATAACTCCAATGATGTTCTTTGCACACGAGGTCTTGAGGGCATACGCCATGACGAGAAGCTCCATGATGGCTGTGTTCACATCTCTGGTTGCAGCAAAACCACAGCCGAGAGCAAAGACATAAGGGTCCGGTTTAAAAAGCCCGTGTTTAGAAGTTAGCTTGTATTTTTGTGCTTACCGTGGTATGGTCTGGATGATGAAGATGGTTTGCCCTCGAACGGATTCCTTCACATCCACTCTCGTCTCTAAACAGAAGGAAATGTGTCAACAACTCTCTACGCAGATGACCAAGTTCTTTACATGTCAACAGTGGAGCTACACAAGTACATCTCTGCCCCTGGGGTGCTTGTGTGTTGGCAGAAGGATAACCAGTGGTGTTTTCCCTTGCCTTCCTCTGGAAACTGGTTCTTAGAAAGACCGGCTCAACCCTTCTCCTCACATCAAAAACTTTTTGGACCTATATGATTCACACGAATGCCGTATTCTGCTTTAAAAATGGCAAGAAGCAGGTATGTACATGTACTGGTGTCATCCTGCTGCAGGACTTTGATGCAGATTGGAACTACCCATAACTTTGGGTCAGCTTAAATAACACTGGTTGAGCCACAGGGAACAGAACCCTGCCTTGGAGCCTTCTAACACTGGACTAGGGAGGAAAAGCCTTAGAAGAGCCACTGCAGAAGCACCAAAGGGCGCCAGGTGGTACACTCCTGAACTAGATTTTCTTGTTTTAACCTTTTTAATACTCCTTCAAGCTTTCTGAAGACCTTTCGGAGGTTTCCTTTGGACTTAGGCAGCTCTTTAACTCATGCTGTCCAGCTCTAGTACCTGACCATGACAGCATGTTGCTTTTGTGTTTTAAAAAGAATTAAAGGACTAAGAAATAGTGCAGCAGTAGCTCAGGTGGTAGAGCGGGTTGCCTCATGATCGGAGGGTCATGGGTTTGATTCCAGCTCCCGCCAGGGGTATCCTGCTGTTGTGTCCTTGGGCAAGACACTTCACCCAACTTGCCTGTGTTAGTGGTGGTCAGAGGGGCTGACGGCACCAAATGGCAGCCTCGCCTCTGTCAGACCTCCCCAGGGCGGCTGTGGCTACAAGTAGCTTACCATCACTAGCAGTGTGTGAATGTGAGAGTGTGTGAAAGCATCTTTGGGTGTCTAGAAAAGCGCTATATAAGTTCAATGCATTATTATTATTATTATTATTATTATTATTATTATTATTATTATTAAATATCAAAGTAGATAACAGAATAGAAAAGTCAAGGACCTGAGAGGAGCATCAGCCTTCAGTTTATCATTATCTTCTCAGCTGGAATCTGTTTATTTGGGCTGGGGTGTTCATTTGCTTGTTAAAAACGTGAGTGTGTGTGTGTGTGTGTGTGTGTGTGTGTGTGTGTGTGTGTGTGTGTGTGTGTGTGTGTGTGTGTGTGTGTGTTCCCATCACCTCTGTTGGTCTCTTGAAAAACCACAGACTTCCCCAATTCAACTCCTAGTCTCCTGCAAACGAAAACAATTTTACAAGAATTTTTATTTTTATTTTATTTTTTCCCCGTGTCCTGTCTGGCTGTGAAGCAAACAGAATTGTTGTCTGAATGGTGGTGAAAAGCCTTACAGATTTACTCTCAGGTGGAGCATCAAAGCGTCTGCTTTTAATGTCACGCCTGATACTTAAAACTTTATTGTTATTGTTTTTGAATGCTTTTTAATTCCGACCAGACACGGAGACAGGTGAAAGAGAAAGGAAAAGACAAAAGGTGGTGGGGGGGGGGGGGGGGGGGGGTCCCACAAAAATAGACAAGAATGAACAAGAGTCTGCTTCTAGACCTGCAGAAGGAAATAGAAAAAAAATGGGACACAACAATACAACAGGAGCAAGCGATCACTGCGTTAGCCTGATGATGAAATATAAAATCAACATTGTTTAACTGAACAATCACACGATAATAAATCACAGTGCATTTAGTGGCAACGACAGCCTTAAGACATGTGTTGAACGTGCCCAAGTCTATACTTATGAGAGCACCATGAGAGCACCTGTGTGTGTACACGCGCTTGTATATGTAAGGTTTCTCTATAGGAGCGTCCAATAGTGTGAGGGACCACAGATCTGCCCCCCAAAGATGTGTAGGAGACGGGGGAGCTCCAAGTTTTACAAGAAAAAATAATGCATCATTTGTTCATCTGACTAAATATTTCTAAAAGGTTGCTAATTTGCATAATAAAATGTCATAGCTATTCTAAATATCAGACAGACAGACAGACAGATGATAGAGAGAGAGAGAGAGAGAGAGAGAGAGAGAGAGAGAGAGAGAAGAGAGAGAGAGAGAGAGAGAGAGAGAGAGAGAGAGAGAGAGAGAGAGAGAGAGAGATAGAGAGAGAGAGAGAGAGAGAGAGAGAGAGAGAGATAGATAGATAGATAGATAGATAGATAGATAGATAGATAGATAGATAGGCTCACGGTCATGAAACAACTCTTTGACTAACAGATGCACCTATGATGGTATAGCAGGTGGTTATGAGGTCTGATGCTACAGGTTAACACACCTTTGTTCTATTATGGTAACAGTCACTAGCTAGTAAAGATAACAACTCACTCCGTTATCTTCTTAGCCAGTTCTGTGCATGCTGCCGAGGAGTTTGCGGAAAACACACGATATCCACTTTTAGCGACATTCATTCTTGGAGCAATAAAGTGTCAGTAGCGCCACCTTCTTTTAACTCCGCACTCACTGCGGTTTTAGTGAGCTAGCTGCCGCACACTAGCCCGCTACGTCCGGTATTTCACTTCGAGGATCGCTACTGAGCGCCACAAACGCAGCTAAATCATAGCCACAAGCGTAAAGCGCCTTAAAGTTCGGGTGTATGTTGAGTTTTGCTATCAGAGGAAAGATAAATAACACCGTCTGTAGGGTTGCGTGGTAACCGGTGGTAACTGATGATTCTGAGCTACGGGATTCTTCAAGGGTCAATCTTTTCAGCTGCGCGTTGCAGGTGCAGCAGAGTTTTTCCTGCGTCAGGCGCTGGTGTTAAGTCGATTTGAGTTCTCCCTCTCACAAAAATAACCCTCACCCTGACGCTTACTCTTAACCATAACCACTCAGCCACCAAAAATGCATGTTTTACACAATTAATGTATGAAATTACTCTGTGTATATGGTATAGGGTAAAACAGGGTAAAGGTTAGGACGCATTTGTTTTTGGAGTAGAGCTTCCAATTTGTGGCTGGGCGGAGGCGAAACAGACCTCGAGGGGCACATTAATCGACAACACACCTGTACACGCTCCTGAAGCGGGGGAACTAATTCTGGCAGGAATAACTACATACTACAACACCTGTTTTAAAGCCGAAATGCGTTTCCCCGTCTAAAACTTTCTTTTTATTTTGCGTGTACAAATCCCATGAAATACTTTATGTGGTATTGAATCGACTGAATGACAAATGCATGTGAGCTTATTTTTTTGCTGAGCACCACGGCACGATAGGACATTTTAATTAAATAATTGCCAACTACTTAAAACATACAGTATAACTATGTTGTTGTCCAAAGGTAAGGAAACTCGTTAAAAATCTCCAGACTTGGTTCTGGTAAAAATAAAAACTACTTATATTATTAGGATGACTGCAGAAAGTCCATGCATTAGTTAGTTTCATGTCATTCTTTGTCAACATTACAAGAAAACCCTTTATATCAGACTTAGATTTTTTTTTTATTCTTGGACCATCAACCAGATGGTGGAAATCAAAAGTACTTGCCATTTAAAATATGTCCATTTCTTATTTTCTGAAGTCAATGCTGTATGTGATTAAAAAGCCCTGTTTAACTTATTATAAGAAGATTAAATATATAATTTTTAAAAAGCACGCACCAAAAGAAAAAAAGGCATGCCAGAAATGTAATTACAAAATTTTGCCAGCAGGGGGCTACGTGTGAAAACAAATGCCAGCAGCGTTTCAAACTGGGTTGTTGGAATTGGTTAATTAACTGACGTAGTTGAAAATATTCTCCTAAAAACGACAAGAGATGCAGATGGTTGTTGGTAAAACGCTCCAACCAGAGGAGGATGTGGACAGCTCCAGATGAGTACACCTGGATGTGGTCTGAATAGCACCGATGCTGTCTATATGAAAGGAATGAGTATAGGTATTTATTTATTTATTTATATTTGTTTGTTTGTTTATTTTGGAAAACTCAGATCTCCTTTTGAACTTTTTTGCTGTGCCATTTAATAAATGAAATTTAAGGTGTTATTTAGTTTTCTGTGGGAGCAGCATTGGGCCCAAAGAGGCCAGAGGACTAAACTATCTCATTAATAAAGCTGAAAAACTCTATCTATCTATCTATCTATCTATCTATCTATCTATCTATCTATCTATCTATCTATCTATCTATCTATCTATCTATCTATCTATCTATCTATCTATCTATCTATCTATCTATCTATCTATCTATCTATCTATCTATCTATCTATCTATCGTCTATTTATCTATCTGTCTGTCTGTCTATCATCTCTACTCAACAAAACTATAAATGAAACACCTTTGTTTCTGCTCCTATTTTTCATGAGATGGACTTAAAGATCTAAAGTTCATTCCAGATACACAATATTACCATTTCTCTCAAACATTGTTCAGAAATCAGTCTAAATGTTTGATAATGAGCACCTGTGCTTTGCTGAGATAATCCATCCCACCTCACAGGTGTGCCACATCAAGATGCTGATCCGACATCATGAGTAGTGCACAGGTGTACCTTATACTGCCCACAATAAAAGGCCACCCTGGACTGTGCAGTTTTTTGCTTTATTGGGGGTCTGGGGACTCAGAAACGGTCAGTATCTGGTGTGACCACCATTTGCCTCATGCAGTGCAACACATCTTCTTCACATAGAGTTTATCAGATTGTCAATTGTGGCCTGTGGAATGTTGGTCAACTCCTCTTCAATGGCTGTGCGAAGTTGTTGGATATTAGTGGGAACTGGTACACGCTGTCGTGTATGCCGGTCAAGCACATCCCAAACATGCTCAACGGGTGACATGTCCAGTGAGTATGTTGGCCATGCAAGAACTGGGACATTTTCAGCTTCCAAGAATTGTGTACAGATCCTTTCAACATGGGGCCGTGCATTATCTTGCTGAAACATGAGGTGATGTTCATGGATGTACGGCACAACAATGGGCCTCAGGATCTCATCACGTTATCTCTGTGCATTCAAAATGCCATCAATAAAATGCACCTGTGTTCTTCGTCCATAACAGATGCCTGCCCATACCATAACCCCACCACCACCATGGGCCACTTGATCCGCAGCATTGACATCAGCAAAGTGCTCACCCACACGACGCCACACACGCTGTCTGCCATCTGCCCTGAACAATGTAAACCAAGATTCAACGTGCCAGACGCCATCGAATGTGAGCATTTGCCCACTCAAGTCTGTTACGGCGACAAGCTGGAGTCAGGTCAGGACCCCGATGAGGATGACGAGCATGGAGTTGAGCTTCCCTGAGAAGGTTTCTGACAGTTTGTGCAGAAATTGTTTGGTTATGCAAACCAGTTGTTTCAGCAGCTGTCTGAGTGGCTGGTCTCAGACGATCTTGGAGGTGAACCTGCTGGATGTGGAGGTCCTGGGCTGGTGTGGTTACACGCTGTCTGCGGTTGTGAGGCCGGTTGGATGTACTACCATATTCTCTGAAACACCTTTGGAGACGGCATATGGTGGAGAAATGAACATTCCATGCACAAGCAACAGATCTGGTTGACATTCCTGTTGTCAGCATGCCAGTTGCACACTCCCTCAATGCTTGTGGCATCTGTGGCATTTTACTGTGAGACAAAACTGCACATTCCAGGGTGTCCTTTTACTGTGGGCAGTATAGGGTACACCTGTGCACTACTCATGATGTCGGATCAGCATTTTGATGTGGCACACCTGTGAGGTGGGATGGATTATCTCAGCAAAGCACAGGTGCTCATTATCAAACATTTAGACTGATTTGTGAACAATGTTTGAGAGAAATGGTAATATTGTGTATCTGGAATGAATTTTAGATCTTTAAGTCTATCATCTATCATCTGTCTATCTATCTATCTATCTATCTATCTATCTATCTATCTATCTATCTATCTATCTATCTATCTATCTATCTATCTATCTATCTATCTATCTATCTATCTATCTATCTATCTATCTATCTATCATCTATCTATCTATCTATCTATCTATCTATCTATCTATCTATCTATCTATCTATCTATCTATCTATCTATCTATCTATCTATCTATCTATCTATCTATCTATCTATTTATCATCTATCTATCTATCTATCTATCTATCTATCTATCTATCTATCTATCTATATTTCTATCTATCTATCTATCTATCTATCTATCTATCTATCTATCTATCTATCTATCTATCTATCTATCTATCTATCTATCTATCTATCTATCTATCTATCTATCTATCTATCTATCTATCTATCTATCTATCTATCTATATCACATATGTCAGACTCAAGGCAAGATGCGGCCCGCGGAGCATTTTTATGTGGCCCGTGAGATAAATATCAAAAATATATTAAAACTGGCCCGCTGGCCGATTTTACCGCAAAGACTTCAACTCCCATGATGCTTTGTAGCGTCAGCGCGGAGCCGACGCGCCCCCTCCTTTGTGTTTTTTTCCAGCGCCTGCTGTCGTGGTATTACATTCAACCACAACTGAGCCGGACTAGGCTAAACCTGCCTCCCCCAAGTCCTCCTCCTAAGTGTAGGAGAGGGAATGGGAGAGAAAAAGAGGTAAGAAAGAGAACAGAATGGTTTGTAGTGTGGTCCCAACTACACTTCTAAGTAAAGGTCTGTACATACTTTATCTGTAATTTAAACGGGTTATCTTTTTCATGACTCTAACCTTTCCAAAGGGTGACAGTATTGTCATGACGTATTAAAATGTTTGTATCCGTTATTACCCCACATAATATTACAGTATATAATATTACACGATAGCGCCTTCCTTTGTAATAACGGACACCTATAATAGGTGTCTGCAGCTCCGCTGTCTCGGACAAACTACACTCCTCTCACTCAGCGCCGAGTTCACTCAGCTATTTTCTGACGTTGTAGCCCAGAAACGGAGATTCTAGCCGCTCAGTAATGTGTTCACGACTTAAAGAGAAAGTTTTCCAACTAACTTCCAGACAGAGCCGATAGAACTCCAGAGAACAGCGACACGCTCAAACCAGCACGACTCTGTGGTTGCTGTCGTGTTTCCTCCCCGACACACAACAACGTGGTCAAGCTGCTCAGACATGTTCATCAGCACAAACCTATGTGAGCACCTGTTGTCATCTAATGTTGTCATTATTATGATGAAGATGAACAAAACAACAGGAGTCTCCTCCTCAGCTCAGATCAACCCCATGATGCAGGTATCTGGCTGGAACAGGTGAGCATCACAGTAAACCAGTGGAGCAACCTGAGCTTTAAATATGTTGGTTTTATGCTCTTTTTCTGCTCCAAAACATGAAAGTTAACAGGTGAGATGTTGCATTTTCATTTAAGATAAAATGATATTTTTAATTTGTTGATGGCCTGTGATAAAAGATTTAAAAGATTTAAAGATTTTAAAGATTTTAAAAATGCTGAATATACCACAAGTAATGAATACCACTGATGCCTTTTATTTAAAACTGACTTGCTCGTGTGTAGTTTGGTTATTCCACATTCAGTGTTAATGCAGAAATAAGTTTGTTTCCAAATTTAAAGGTTCAAAATTGCATATATGTTGATAAAGAAAATGTGCAAATTTGCCGTCACTTTTTCAAAAAATATTAAGTTTGGCCCTGGACTCCGTCCCAGAGTTTCATTTCGGCCCCGTGTGAATTTGAGTTTGACACCCCTGATCTATATCTATCTCTCTGTGACCTTTTACGCAAATTAGCAACACGGTGTGTGTTTCCTGCTTTATTGTGACCTAGC